ACGACTGTCCCATAAACGCGATCACTCTGACGTGCTGGTGCATATTGTTTTTCATTTCGGGAAGTGTTTTAAAAATAATCACTCGTACATTTTATGATACCGCCTTGTACGTTTGCACCTTCGTCACGGAATCAACATATGGAAAGCGATTTACAATTTGATGACGCACGAATGCATCAATATTTAATTCATCAAATATATCATGTCTCGGAATTGTTTTATTTCCAGCACAAACATTCATTCATAATGAGCTGGGACAGCTCAGTCAATTCACTGACAAGCCGACGGGCTGGATAACCGACGTTCGATTCCCGGCTTTTCTGTTTGCCCGGCTACCTCTCGAGCAGGTACTAGGGCTTTTTATTTGGTATGAAAGCGGCCGGGGCGTGAAGCTATACCTTCACTCCTCATGACATGGTGCAAATTAAGCATCAGGTTTGGATATATTGGACCAATATAAAAGTACATAATTTCTGGACTTTTTAATGCTGTTCAAGGAGATAATCCCTGGATTTGAGGTTATCACGGCGGTCAGTCAAAAGATGGCTGTCTTCTGGGTTGTAAGGCCGTGTAATCTGGCAGACGTTCTGAGGTCCTTGCTGCCTACATCATGAGGGCGAAGAGTGGACATCGCCCTGATGATGGAGGCAGCAGGGACCTCTGAAACCTTGGTAAACGCCTGCCAGATTACACGGCGCTAGAACCCTGAGGGCAGCCATCTTCGAGATAATCCCTCTTTACAGTGAGAATCTTTTGAAACCCATAAATACAAAATGCATAGTTGTACTGACTGTTACAGAAGGCGGTTACCATTGGGTTCTGATGAGTTACGAAAACAATTGCTACAATGTGGATCAGGTCGCTATGGTTACAGTTCACCAAATTTTGGTCGCATGACAGTCTCACCTCTAGATTATTTGGATTTGTTTTTGTCGTGTCATTTGCACCGACTCCCTGTTCACCTCGAGATATGAACCAAGGGACATAAGATATTGCGGTTTGTTTCGCCACAGGAAGTGCGCCTTGCAAAATGCTCTTTCGCCAATCACTACTAAGCTGCTTGGATTCAGGGAAAGGACGAGTTATTAACCGATAAGGCAGGTGATGTAGTTACCTGCTATTCTGTAAAGAATTTTGTACTTGGTTGTTTCACGAATCAGTTGTAGGAGTTGCGTGCAGTGGAATAAAATTGGAAAAGGTTAAATAAGATATTGAATAATCGGAAAACATGGTAGAGGAAGCGGTCTTGCATATTTCAAGAGAAAGGACATACGTTTAGCAGAACTCCAAAAAACAAACAAACTCAAGGAAATACTTATGATTTAAAGTTTCCTCGTTCGATGTTCGAGCTATGTCAAAATGTCTGTACTTTATAATGTATAAAAACAATCCTGCTGTGCCGCCACTGAAAACACGTCTAGAAATCGTCGCAAACAACTGCTGCCAACCTGCACTGACATCATTTTACCCAAACGACTGTGTACAGTCGTATGTTGGTATGCGTGGCTCAGTATATCTGTTTTCTGCCGATACGAATGGAGTAATCGGGCGTTCACGTCCGCGTATGTGTGGAATGGGTTTCGCGTGCTTAATTCCACTCGGTTTGTGTCGGCAGAAACATGCGAGTGGCCTAAATCTTCATGTTCTCCCCACCATTTCTGGGCATTCATACAAACCGTAACTGAACGACCTTCAGCATGTCATTTCAGTATGTGTCATGCGTTTGATCTAGGCAGCGTGGTCCAACTGGCGGCCCACATCCAGCTAACTTATTTTATTTATTCCGAAGGATCTGGGAAAAATCATGACTCCTATCTCGTCTGCTCCTTAACGTACAAGTGCCACATATGCTACTGACTTTTTCATGTAAAAATTATGACAGATACAAGTTGTTGCAGAAGCAAATTAAAAATAACGCCTAACTCTATGCTAATTCGTACACATTTAAATAACATTTATATATGAGCATATACAATGCAATTTGTCATTTGTAAATAAGTGTTGTTAGAGATAACGAAAATTGGCACTTCGTTTTCAAAAATAGTGCCAAGGTTTCTTGGCCCTTGGGTAGAGCACCCTGAGTCAAGGGATGACGATATTTTCCTGGTATTGCCCATAGAGTTCTCTTTCATAATTATATAACCGCAACAAGTCTTTACCGAAAGCAAACTTGGGGCCCCTTAACTCGTTGTCTTGGTATTTATTTTGCTCGAATACGAAATGTTTGCAGTAAGGATGTGGCCCCTTTCTATGGTGGGCCCGAGAAAAATTACGTAAACTTCAATCAAGATAGTCGGTCTCGTGGCCTAGATTCCAATCGAAGACCCCCGAATACGAAGCTAACCACTACATCGCGACACGAGGTCTATTATTAACTAACACATTTCAAATTAATCAGCTAGGAAATTTCTTGAAGACTATAAGACATGAATTATTTCATTTGAATTCTAATGGTCTATTGCAAAACTCTGACAGGCCTGTTCGTAACTCGTTCATGTCTGATTATCCTGTGACAGTGCCTTGTAAAATACCACGAAACGTGAATGACTGGCAATGTCTTTCTGGAACGTCATTTAAATTCTCTGAGAAACTGGCCTACGCTACAGCAGAAGCAAGTGTCTAGGAGTCGCAGCAGCTACAACCAGTAGACTACACCCTCTACAATCCGTCATCGCACCTCTCACTTCATCCACTATTTCAGTCGCCTGCATCAAGTTACAGTGGATGGATTTTGTGAGCATTATTACGTTACGAAACGTGGGCATAATCCAGTGTGGTGTGAATTTGCAAAGTGAATAAAGAAATGTATATTCAGAGGTAAGATACCAGGGAAGGGCGAGAAAGGACCGAGATGAGGGCGGGATTGGAAAGAAATACGATACAGAATTAATGCAGAAACGAAGGGAAAAGGAATGGCGATAATACGAGCAAATTAAAATATTGGGGAATAAACATGAGATAAGTGAGAGGAGAGTACAACGAAAGGGGACAAAGGAAAGGAACAGATGACGAAGGGTTTCGATTTGAAATAAATTATTCCCCGGGCTTCTAGACTGATTTTTAATACCGTGCTCCCATCATTCGTTCCGATTATTAGGCCCGGATCAAAAGTTCAGATTACAAAATTTTCCTGGAAACATACAGGATGTTTATAATTGTGTATTAACCTAATAACTAGGCGAAGAATATGGCTGTATTCTGTGTTGGCGCGCCGTATAGTCTGGTAGAGTTTACCGACGTTTCGGAGTTGCTTGCTGCCTCCGTCATCAGGACGATGAGTAAGCACCTCTGAGACGATGGTAAATTTTACCAGACTAGACGTCGCTACAACACCAATATGAAAGGGTGGGAGAGAGTGGATTGGATTCATGTGGCTCAGGATGACAACACGCTAATGGGCCATCTATTTCCGTAAATGGCGGGGAATTTCTTGACTAGCGGAGCTTAGTAGCAGCTTCTCAAGGACTCTGGTCCATGGAGTTTGTCAGTCAGCGGCAGTTCTACCCAGCGCAGCTGAGGTGGGTGTAACTAAATACTCACTTCCGGTTCAAGGACTGTTACGTTCTTTTAAAGTGACTAGTACGAGTCAGGAGTGATGGTCATCATACAATTTGGAGTTGGAAGGGTCTGCGTGGTTCATATCCTTACCGAGAATTAACTGCACCGCCTGTTTACCTTTGTTACTGTAAAGCTACAAAAGTTAGGTTAGGTTTCATTTTACTGACACTATAAAACAGCAAACTCATTCAAAACTGAAGAGGAGGGTTTCTGAACGAGAAAACTTCGTTTGTAGGCGTGTTCGTAACCACGCGAAGTGCGTATCAAACCCCCCACCCCCCCAAATCAGTCCGCACGCCTGAAACATCTGGAGAATGGATTTTGATTAAATCTGATATTGGAGAATTTTGCTAATAACTGTCGAAGCCATTTCAATTTTATTTAGATCGGACAGGTTTGAAGGCAACTTTACAAAGGAGCATAAATACACAATTCTGTCACCATAAGCCATCACAAGGGACAAGAAATGCTCTAAGCGAGCCTTACTGTTCTGTTCCCTTCCGGTTTTCCAACCAAAATGCGAGCTGTCCTAAACACCTACACGTTATCACAACCCAGAAGTTAACAATAAGACGTAAATCTCAACGAGAGACAAGCAATATCGTCGTACAACTTCCTTTGCGTGGCCATATATGCATATTTTAGCTCAGTTATGCATACCTATACAAGTATCAAGACCATTAATCATCTGTATGGCGCATTTTAAGGTTCAGACGGCTTACAAAATATTTCGCATGGGCGCAATGCGGCGCGGGACATTGGACAACCCTGCCGTGCGCAACTGACCTATAACGTATAGAAATAGAGGAGCTGATGTCACCCGGGGCTTTAGGCAGGGCAGAGTATAAGTGTTTTTCTTATATCCTGACATCAAAGAGGTTAGATTACAAGAAACGATTCCATGATATCGTGTTCAAATCTTGCCGGAGGACGGACCAGTCCAACATCTGTTATTTCCCTCAACTCACTGCAATCTCGGAGATAATTAAAAAATTATAGCCTTGTACTATAACTTCATGAATTTACATTACCTAAGTAAGACCCTACGTTTCACAGCCACACAGCATAACTTATTTTATATGTATTAATTTCAGTGTAGTTTTCAAACTAAACATTAATATGCATTTTTAGTGCTTGTACATAAAATCCTCAAAGACTAACCACAGAGCAATCCCTAGAGGGGTGTGGCCTGGGACGAAGCAGTTGATGGAGGCCCTTCCCTGAGATTTTCACAAGCAGGAAGAAAGAAACTTTAACATGCTTTATGTTACCCTTTTTACTTATTGGATGCTTAAAGTGTCATAATGTCAGCACACCAGGTGACCTCACTACTTGTCCATCCTTAATGACGACCCGAACAGTCCATTAGACGAAAACCTTTTGACAACAACAGCAATAATGTCTAAAACAGAGTCTAACAGTCACTCCTATGTGTGTTGCAGCCTCAACAGAATGCATGTCATGGAGGAAGAGGGTAGCAAATCATCTGCAACCCTGGACAACCTGCCGAAGACCAATGGATCCCCCACACCATGCCAGAACCCAGTTTCAACACTGGATGGTGAGAAAAAAGGTGAATGTGGCGAAGAGAATGTGGTTACAGTCACTAACAAGGATGAGGACTGTATGAAAACCCCCAATTATGAACTGCTAGAGACCACAAGAACTGTGGCAGCGGAAGAAGAGGCTATCCACAAACTTAAAGAGAGTACGTACAGAACTTTAATTTCTTGTTGCCTGAAAAATAATGTTTTTGTGGCTTCCATTATGGAATCTTCACCACATTTGATAACTTAAAGAGGTCTGGCACAAAGGCAATAAATGAATTCACATAAACATGAGTCCAGAAAGACTCCTTTCTGAATTACAGCATATTTTTCTTTTCAAAAATTTTCAGACAATAGCATCATATTCTTATTGCCCCTTGAATGCATTTGCAAATGCTCAAAATGCCTGTTTCAAAGTTGCTGCTGTGAGAAACTTTTGTGGTAGAGGGACCTGGTTTCCTTATTGTCGTCATTTGCAAACCTGTAAAAGAGATGATGTCTGTCATTTCGTGGAATCGATAAACACTTGTATCCACTAGACACTCATGCCAATTCATCCGCTTTTGGTACCCCCGCCTGGCATCGCTACGAGTGCAGAGGGGAAGCGATGGAAGCATGGTACTGTGTGCAAAATTTCAGAAAGGAAAAGAGAGCTGAACTCAGAGAGGAGGCTTTTCTGGACCCATGATCCGTCAAGTGTTTCCATTGTTTTCGTGTGCAGAACTTCCCCTTACATGAACCACTTTACCGCCTGGAACATCATACATGCATCATATGTTCAAATCCAATACGAGAGGTTCTTAAAATGTTGGTATGAACAGTTTTAAAATTTTATCAAAGATTCATGATTCCCCACCATTGGATATGGCTGTAAAAATGTATTGAAATCATAACCTCAACAATAACTTCAATCATATTAAGAGACTTCAATATGGTTAACACATCATAAAGGAAAAGTGGACTCTGCTGAAGGCTACAATCAACACATTCAGTTACGTTCTGTTATGTTTTTAACTGCTACCATCTAGTGGCATCAACTAAAAGAAACTACCGTCATTATAATTAGTCACCCGAAAACTTACTATATCTGAGACAACAGACAATATCAAACAACCTGATAATCAAAAGAATCTATAATTTATAAAAATGTATAAATTAAAGGTACCATATTCTGAGGCATCATGCTTCGGACCGGCGATACGGAATGCGCGCTGGTTCGAGTCTCGGGGGAGAAGAAATTTTCTCATGAGCTTTTGACCGGTGTATGGGACCGGTGCCAACCCAGCATCGTGAGGAAATTGGGGAGCTACAATGAGTAGCGTAATCCGGTCATGGAAACTAGCAATGGCTGGGTGTTCGTCGTGCTGAACACACGTCACCCTATATCTGGTTGGATGATCGTTCACCTCTGCTTAGGCATGTGAACGTGAGGCCAGCAGTCAAGCTAGTCGGCTTTGGCTCTCTGGAGCTGTTACGCCACAGATTTATTTTTTTATATGCTTTAATTGCAGGTACAGATGTGGAGGATAAATGTGTTTCTACTGAAGTCAAACAGACTCACACCGCTGAGCAGGATGAGAAGGGAGATGAGGCATCGGGTGATGATGTTCCCGAAGGAGAAAAGGTTCCCCCAGAAAATGTCAATCCTAGCACCAAGATAACTGCAGAGCATAATAACAAGCCACAGCAAGATGACATATGCAGTCTCCCACCATCCCCTGAAGAGGAAGATGAAAACAGTGCTACCAGTAGCCCAGAGAGTCAAGGCGCGGTGTCAAAGAGGAGTCAGAAAATGAGGAGAAAGCAGATAAGTAGTGATAGTGACAGTGACACTCCAACCATAGTGAAGAAGCTCAGGCTGTCCAGCAGGGAATATGAAGAACGTGAACACGTGGTAAACGAGTATGTGGACAGTGCTTCTAGGACAGGTCTTGAGGAAATCCAGAAGTACACAGAGAAACTGCAGCAGGAGATCCATACACTGAGTGCACTCGCTCGTGCCAAGGAGCACGAGTGGAACAACATAATTCGTCTCAAGAAAGTGAAAGAGGAAATGTACGTCCGTCTGCAGCGAAAGAGACAAGTTATTCTCCTCACAATGGGCAGTGTAAGCAAGCCCAGTGACATACTAGATTGGGACCTCTCATCTGATGCAAGGTATGGCGAATGTAGTGTTAGTATTGATGAGATGCCTTCTAGTAGGGATCCTGCCAGCTTGAAAGGCACTCCAACTAAAATGAATTCCAAAGAGCAAAATACAGTGTCACAGTTCAGCTTGCAACCTCCAACAGGTGGTGTGTCTCTTTTAAAAAGCAACCAAAACCAGTTACCACTTATGATGGTGCCTATTGTATCTTCTGGTCCAGGAGGCCTCTCAGCATCTCTGTCAACATCTTCGGTTCCCTCCCAGTCCACTGGTCCAAGTACTTCTTCAATTAAAGTTCCTGACTTGGGCAATAGAGATAAATCTGGTGGACGGGTACACCGCCCAATATTACCAAAGCCTACTACTGCTGTTGTGGTATCCTCAGGAAACAGTGGCACCAACAGCAGTAACAACAATGGACAGAATCCTGTTATAGGTGAAGGTCGGCAGGGACCTATCCTGGATGTCAGGTCCATCATAGCCGATTATCGTTCTAGACATCCAGAAACTGTTCCTCGCCGCGGCCGCAGGCTCAAGAGTTCTCTCTCCCCAACTCAAAACTCTCAGCAACTGGCAGACAATCTAGTATCTTCTACCAGGGTCACTGGTGGAGGAGGAATTTTTAGCATGGCTTCTCTTGCCCTCGGCTCTGGCTCCCAAATGCGCACGGGCCTAGTGGGTTCTACATCTGAAATGGGAGACATAAGTTTCCTCCTGAATGCCGTGGGAGAAGTTGCTAGGCAGGATACGTCTCGTCCGTCCAGTGCCGATTCATCTCGGAGTGGAGCCCCCTCTCATACGACTCCCGAGCCAGGAGGCAACACAAACTCTGGAGGTTCGAGTGGGGGGATCAGTTTTAAGGATGTGTTGGTGCAGTTTGCAAAGTTAAGCCAAACGGAACAGCGGCATGAGCCAATGCCAGCCGCTACAACTGCTAGCAAACCCCCGCCATACCCTGAGGTGACGCTCCATCCTGTGTTGGCACCACACTCACCACCACATCAGTCTCCTTCATCATCGCTGCTACATGGAATCCTCACAAAATCTAACAATGCAGCACAGCACAGGGGAGACACGAGCATCAGTGCGCGGCCAACAACCTTCTCTCCAACATTAGCAAGGTTGCTCACTGCCCCAGAAAGGTTGCCCACTGTTGCCAACACTAATGCCACAAACTTTCATGGCGGAGCAGCACATGTCTCCATAAGTGACCTGCTGTCAACATCAAAGGTAAGTTGGTATGTCAGGATCATAATTATCAATTACAGCATTTCAGCATAAAATTCTACCTTTGACTTTACTCTAAGCTGGTTCAGTCCAGTTCCCATCATCACAACCTGATTCTTCAGATCCATTTCATTAATATAACCTTTAGGGTACACAGCGCTAAAAAAATGTATGGAACTGGGTTGCAATGCCATGTGGACCCATAGAAACAATGGTGACTATGATATGGAACTGCTGTTCAACTTCAAATTCATACCACGAACCTCCAAACAACCCTCACAGAATGTTCATGCATGCCATACTTCATTTGTTGCAAAATAATGTGAAATTTATCACCCATTGTTTGCACAAAAGAGGATCAAATCACCATTAACATGGTTCTGTTGTCCATAATACTAGTACCAGATTACTAATACATTACTGCAGTGAGGACAAAAACGAATATGAGTTCTCGATTTTAAATGTATAAACCTTGTTGTGCACCGAGATTGTCATGACACAACGCTTTTAAACAAGTCACGTTCCACACGTGGTGTAAGTTGAGATCGCTTTTCAGAGTGTTGACCGCGCTAAGATGGTTAACATGATCGCTAAGGATGATTATTTACACTACCGATTCATATCATAGGCCAGTGTACTTACTTTCGGTATATATCCGGCTCCAAAGCGTTGTGGGATCCGATGCAAAGCAGCATATACGGGGCTTCCAAACAGTATTATATAACTGAAAATAAGTTCGTAATTAAAAGCACAAGCCTAAATATTTATACGGGCCCACGCTGTATTGTAATTACACAATAAACACTCCACTAACGCGACACAGAAGCACCAAACACTGAAAGAACGCTACTTCAATAAAATGCCGATCACGTGCAGGTTCGGGAAGCGATCTATGAATAGTAAATGTCAACAAGAAGTAATTACGTCTGTGAGATAAAGTATAAACAGAAAAGTAATGACATTCGTCTCAGAAATATGAAAATCAAAGCAAGATAACTTAAAATACACGTATTTTATCATTAGAATTTCATGATCGCACTTTGTTCGATGTTCGAATATATCGATAATTAAAATATTTTTCGTTACGCACCTGACGCGATGTTTAATGGTCATTATTAAAAAACCTTGTAAATACAAAGAAACGTGCGCAATATAAAATGTGTATATTTTAAAGGGTACATTTTTGTTTGGAGCACATTTTGATGTAACTAGTATTCAGTGGACAGTATATATAATTAATTTACGTTCAATGGTTAACATTTCCCAATCTTCCCCCACCCCACCCCAATCGGACTTGATCCTAAGCCATCTTCAGACTCAATGTCGTGGAAACCTCAAACATGCCTTATATTCTCAACCTATTTCCCAAGGCCTATAATATGAACTGAATCATCCATACAGTTTAATAAAGATTGTGATACTAAATTCTGTTCATCCATGGTATACTTACATGGTGGGGAAAGTAAAGTACTTTCTCCATAGTGTAGAGATGGACTCAGTAGACCTAACCCCATTTGCACAGTAAGCCTATAAATATGGATCTGAAATAAAGTATTTTTCTGTAACATATGTTAATAAGTACCAACATGACTGTGATTTCAACCTTTGAGGTTATGTTCACCAGTTGGATGTTTCATGACCTGTTTGTTTAAGAGTATGCCCAAATTAAATTACATTAAATCTGCGGAAAGAAGCTACTTTGATGGTTTAGGCATAGAACATTGGAATACGGATTAATGTAATGTAGATGAGATTCATTCAGTTAAAGATATTGCCCAGCGGCTGACTTTTGTTCTTGGTCTGTTACTTTAATGCTTTCCAAGAGTAAAAACTGCAGGACCATATCAATTGTTTCATTTGATGTGTTTAATTAAGAAGCAACCTGAATTATGTGCATTTCTTTCCAGACAAGAAATGAAATCACCATTACACCTGTGGCTGCCCAGCCAGTTAAAGCCAAAGAAGAAGTAGTGCTTGTGGTAAGGTTAAAGCCCTCTATTTTATATTAATTTTTCTATGAAACTAATTAATGGGTTATTAAAATAGGGGATTTAAAGCTCCATGCTACAGAGCTACTAGCTGGGAATTAACTCTGTGGTAAACATTTTCATTTTTGCTAGTGCGACATAAGGGCAGCTGGGCTATGCATAAACGCTGATGCATGGTCAGTCGTTATTTTAACCTTGCCCGCCAGGATTATTTCAGCGTCATTTATGTTAATGCAAGTAAGATGTCTTGCACGTGAAAATGTATTTTGAATCACTTTATACTGTGATGGCATTACACGGAAATTTAATTCAGGACACTTAATATATTTTAACAACTTTCTCAGAAATTCTCACTCCAGGCATATTAGAAAGAACGTCCATTTGAGAAAATGTAGAAAGTGTGAAGTTTATTTTAATGATAACTACTCAGTTACGACTAATACGGAAAATAATGCCACGGGCTTGTAAATTCTCCAGAAGTGGACTACATGAACACCATGACTGGCTGTATATCGTCTTGTGAGAACTTCATTTCTTGCCATTAACATTTCAGGAGGAAGAACAAGAGGATAGTGCTGACCGTTTGGTGATCGACGAGTCCGCCGGAGATGGCGATGGCGGGAGAAGTCGAGGAGAGAACGAGGATGATCAGGGCACAGAGATGGCAGCTGAAGATGTGCCAGAATGTCAGGGCTGCCACCAGAGAGCTGCTCAGTTTGTGTGCGCCGGATGCGGAAACCAGTGGTACTGCAGCCGTGACTGTCAGGTGGGCATTGTCCCTTGTGAAACTGCTCGGTGATAAGACATCAAGAGCTAATGATTATTAACTCACTTGTACTACAATCTGAAGATTCTATATGACTAACATAAAATGTGCCAGCAGATCTTATCCTGAGTCGTGTTACTCCAAAGCACATCGGCATAATATATTTCCTTAAGATATATTATAGTTTATCATTGTTTTTCCAAGAAATTTTCATGTTTATCCATTCATTTGATAATGTAGGACTAATGGTATATGGTCACTAGTTTCCTCTGTATTCTGATCTAATTCTAAACTAGGATGACCTCTTCAATTTAGAGAATTTCTTCAAGAGTAAGAGGCATGAAGTAATATGTTGCTATTTACAAAGTTTAAGGGAACTGGCACATTGTATAGTCTAATTGAAATTCCAAGAAATGTAATTCAGTGCTGTTGACAATAAAATGAAGACTGAAGCAGATGTTTTGTTACCAGATGCATCTTGCAGAAAAAGTGGGAGTCTCTCAAACTGTAATATATATGAAGATTTCTGTCTTCTGGGTTGTTGCGCTGTGTAGTCTGGTCGATGTTAACCAACGTTTCAGAGGTCATTCATTCATCGCCCTGATGACGGAGGCAGTATGACCTCTGAAACGTTGGTTAACATCGACCAGACTACACAGCGCAACAACCCAGAAGACAGAAATCTTCATA